TTCTGAAGTTCATAATTTTAATATCAGGAATAATTCTAATTTTTTTCAAGTAATAACTCACTTAACGATATTATATTTAAGCATCCTGTTGTACTCCATACGATAAATGATATAATGATACAAACCCCGTCCCAAGTGCAATCAATACATTATGTGTCCTTGATCTTGCTCCTCTACACTACATGTTTCAGCCTCAGACGGCCATCATCAGGTGTATAACACTGACGTTGCTGTCACACTGCACCCAGCCCAAAATTCAACATTTAAAACACCTTCCTTGTTATTATCAACATCTACTTCGTTGATATCTGTCTGGTTTGTAGATTATTTTACACATGTTAATTTTGACGTTTCTGTAGTAGCACTATAAAATCCCTAGTTACAGTTCTAAAATCCTTTAAAATCCCTCTCCAAATCCTAAATTCAAAATTGTTAGGGTTACTTGCCCTATGTCTAAAGTGCTGCAGCGGCTAGTTCTTGTTTCCACACTGTATAGGTGTTATCCTGTGTAGTCTTCCTGTGTGCGTGCCGCTGTTATTCTTTACTACGTGTGCTCATGTTTCATAAAAGTACTGCCTACGCAGGTGTTAAGATATATAACCATCTTCCAGCTGGCATTAAGGACTTGGCATGTGATATTAAAAGCTTTAAAAAGGCATTAAAATGTATTTGCATGAGCATTCTTTATATACTGTGGGTGAATTTTTTATGCACAAAGCTAGATAATTATTTTTGATTGTAATAGTAACATCATTGTATCAGTATTTACAGTGTTTTATTATTTTTATATTTTCAACAAAATCTTTAATGATTGCATGTCTTATTTATTTATCCAGAAGGTCGCGGGTTCAAGTCCTGATGAGGTCATTGGATTTTTTCAATTAACCTAATCCTTCCAGCTGCACTATGGCCCTGGGGTCAACTCAGCCTCTAACAGAAATCAGTACCAGCAATTAATTAAATAAATTTCCTGGGAAGTAAAGTGTGGCCGGCGCATAATGCTGACAACCTTACCGCCATCTTTGAGCCGATTGTCTAGATAATGTGGGACCCTCAATGTCTCACAACCCTATGAGACTTCACGGCTTGTTACAGGGATGGCTTTACTTACTTTTTTACTTTTGCCTATTTATTAATATTGTACTGTCTTGTATTTTTTACTTTTCTATATCCAATGATTGTACCAGTAAGGATCAAGAGAATAAATTAAAATTAAAATTGAATGAGAAGAGGATGTAATTAACTTCAAGTGACATGCAAACTGAACTGAAAAGCGACGAGGAAATTTGTGACTGGTTCTCATTGTAATTCTTTGAGTTGACAGATATATCAGACAGCACAGTTGGCAGTTATGGTGAGGATGATAGTTTTTTACTTTAAAAGAACAGCAGCTGAAGGTATTGCTTATGAAAAGTTGAACAACAGATGAGGATATGTCGAACACATTTAAAATTGCTTCAACGGAAATTAGTGTACCTGTGCATTGGTTGCCTGCAGTAACTACTGATGAGAACACAAGTAGTGATGGGCAGCATTAATGGATTCCAAAACTGACATTTTATCACTGCATTCTCTATTAGAGAGTTTTGTGTGTTAAACTGCTTCTATTCAGACATGCCTTGAATGTCATTGTAACAGTAATGAACTGTGTCTCTGTGGCTTCTTTGCAACACCAACTTCATGATGCCCCTCTTGAGGATGCCAGAGATAAACAAACAATCTGATATTATCTAGCACACAGCAGTATGATGGCTGAGCAAAGGTAAAATTATTACATGGTTTTTAAGCCTGTTTGAGGGAGTTGGTAATTTTCAAAGCCTGAAAATGAGGACTTTAACCATCTGAGTGATTATTGCTGGTTAGTAGACTTTTTTTGTGTCCCTTACAGACTTTAACCATCTGAGTGATTATTGCTGGTTAGTAGACTTTTTTTGTGTCCCTTACAGACTTTAACCATCTGAGTGATTATTGCTGGTTAGTAGACTTTTTTTTTTGTGTCTCTTACTGATGCCAATGACAAGCATTAGAGAGAGGACAGATTTGGCTGGAATGACAGGCTCTGTAGAACCATTCAAAGCAAAACTACTGTTGTGGGTGACAGACATGAAGATGAACTCTCATATAGACTTCCTGAATGAAAATATTGGGTGATAGTGCTTTCAGCCCATTACCATTTGTTGGCCACCTTCAGACACTTCTGGAACAGTCTGAAGAGAGATTTCAGCAGTTCACTATCAGTGAGCCAGCCTTTTCTGTAAATCCTTTTATTTTCCAGATGTTACAGAAATTGCTGCGTGCATTGGAATGACTCATTCAAGTAACGGTAGAAGAACTGGAATTGGAGACTGTGAACCTTAAAAATTATGTTACGAAATCTTGTGCAGTATGTCACAATAGTTGGAATCCTTTGGATCGAGAAAAGTTTCTTTCCTTGAAAACTGCAGTATATGAAATAAAATCTTATTTTGGTTCCACTTGCCTGTGCAAATCACTGTAAAAAAAATAGATCTCAACTAATGCCCATCTTGGCAATTGTTTATGAACATAAACATCATTCTACTTTCCCAGCTTTGAAAAATTGGTCAGTGGAAATGCATGCCAAAGATCACACTAATGAACTTTCAGCATGAGGGTGGATATTAGACAGAATCATGGACTGACTTATTGAAGAATTTAATTAACTTCTGCATTTAAAATCTTGTAATTTTTTTATTTTGTTTTCTTTGTAATGTTAGATGTGTTGTTTTATATATCATTTGGTGTACATGTGCTATTTATTTGCTTTGAAAGAAGAGTGGGTTACGTTAATTGGTTTTTGCTTGCTACTGTGTCATGAATTCTCAAATATTCCTTTTGGGCTCAAGAAGTTTGGGGACCCCTGGTCTAGACTATGTAGCTTTAAAATGTGTTGTTCAGTGATAGTATATATATTGGTGTATATTTTACTAGAATCACATTTTTTTATTCATGATTTGACATGTATACGTGGTGTGTTCAAGTTCTAAGGTCTCTGATTTTTTTCTCACACAATAATCATACAAAAAATTTGAAACTTCTGTCAGTTTTGAACGTAATCTCCCTGCAGCCATACACATTTTTCACAACGTTGACGCCATGATTCCATGGCTGCTGTGAACGCTTCTGTAGGAGTCTGTTTTGACCACTGGAAAATCGCTGATGCAATAGTGGAATGACTGGTGAATGTGTGACCACGGAGAGTGTCTTTCATCGTTGGGAATAGCCAAAAATCGCTAGGAGCCAGGTCAGGTGAGTAGGGATCATGAGAAACCACTTCAAGGTTGTTTTCATGAAGAAACTGCTGTGTCGTGTACGCCCGATGCTCTGGTGCATTGTCCTGGTGAAAGAGCACATGTGCAGCCTTTTCTGGCCGTTTTTCTCGCAGTGCTGGAAGGAGCTTGTTCTTCAAAACATCTTGGTAGGATGCACCTGTCACCATAGTGCCCTTTGGAACACAGTGAGTAAGGATTACGCCATCGCTGCCCTAAAACATGGCCACCATCATTTTTTCAGCACTGACGCTTACCCGAATTTTTTTTGGTGGCGGTGAGTCTGTGTGCTTCCATTGAGCTGACTGGCGCTTCGTTTCGGGATTGAAAAACGGCATCCATGTGTCATCCATTGTCACAATTGATGAAAAGAAAGTCTCATTCATGCCTTCATCACATGTCAACATCTCCTGGCAAATTGCCATGCACACAGCCTTGTCATCCGCCAGCATTCGTAGCACCCACCTGGAGGACACTTTCTGCATTCGCAGGTCTTTATGCAGGATTGTGTGCACAGATCCACGGAAATGCCAACTTTGGAGGCGATGTTTTCCATACTCAATCGGCGATCCTCCAAAACAACTTTCTCAACTCGCTCGACCATGTTGTCAGACCGGTTGGTGCGAGGCCGAGATTATTTTGTCAAACGACGTTCTGCCTTCTTTGAACTGTCGCACCCACAAACGCACATTTTTCACATTCATGACACCACCACATGTCTCACTCAGCTGGCGATGAATTTCAATGGGTGTGGCACCACGCAAGTGGAGGAAACGAATGAATACTTGCTGTTCTTGTCGAAAACGTCGCCATTTTAGGTATCAAATACACTCGTCACTCTCGTCGCCACCACTAGAGTTCTGTGTGCCGTGCAGTGCTGCCGCTCTGTCACGCATTCACAAAGAGTGCACATGTATTTAAACTAAACCGCACATGTCTATCTGCTCCCAGTCCTGAGAAAAAAAATTGGAGACCTTACAACTTGAACGCCCCTTGTATTAACTCAAATGCACCAGTGGATTTAATGTAATTTAAATAGCCTGAAGACAGAGGATACTGGGATTTAAATTCCTCTCCTCTGCCCCAAATGTATGCTTAGACTAAAATCCCAAGATCATGTAGTTAAGCTATGGACATCCTGTCGTGGGACATTCTGTGTAGTATCATATGGCGGGATGATAGTGAACAGTAAAGTTGAGAGGATGTGGAAGGCAATGATCTTTGCTTAAGTTAAAGCACTGTCCCAGCATTTTCCTGGAGAAGTTTTGTCACCCCTGTTGCTAACTGGTTTTGTTTGTGTCCACAACTGAATGTGAGAAAGTCTGATGGGATGGGCTCCAAGCTCAGTTTCGTGGATTTTGTAATGCTTTGAGAATACCAGTCAGACTTTAAGATATTTGTTTTCATTATTTAAAGTAGTATTTATATGCAAAGTGTTAAATTGCTGTGAATAATTGACCGCTGTTAAAAGTTTCTGACCTATAGAATTGTTCTTGTCTCAATGACCCCAAGTCACTTCATATGCTTTTCTGCTTTATCAGCAGGTAGCAAGATAAGGTATGAATCAAAAGGTTTCCGGGTTTTGTTGTTCACTGATTTACTATTACAATTCCAACTTTACCCCAGTAATGCTGGAAATTAGGAAGTAGATCCTTTTATAAGGATATCTTATACATGCTGTATATATGTAATGCATTCCTTTTATTTTTGAAGCGGCAGTGTTCAATATGTCAACGTTATTACTGCAGTTGTTGTTTGCCATTTGGGCAAAATAGTAGCAGCAAAGGCGTCACTTCCATGTTCACCCGTTTCACAGACAAGAAGATTAAATGTAGCAAATGCGAGGTACTTACTGCACGACCACTGTGTCGTTCACAACTTAGAGAGCTTAGAGTCAAGGATTTACAACTGTACCTTACATCTCAGAAAGTATCTACAAGAGGATGTGTTGGTGAGTAGTACTCTTCTTGCTGGTAAGATAGTGCAAAATTGCAAGTCTTGAAATAATGATATTTATATGAAATTATTCATAAATCTCCAGAACTAACTGATTAACTAACAAGTGAATGAAGAAATTGAACATTATGGGTAGTGAAGAGTTCTGTCTTCTGGGATATAACACCATGTAGTCTGTTGAAAGTAAAACAGTGTTTTAGAGGAACATGTCACTTCCATCCTCAGGATCAAAGAATAAGCTGGGCAAGACACCAGAATGAAAGCAGGTGGTAAGCAGTGGACTGCATGGGGTAATATCCCGGAATGTAGACCTTTATGTAACTGCTGCTGTGAGGAGAACCTCAAATACTACATAATGACAATGACAGTTTGTCTGACTCATGTTTAGGTGTCTATCTGAACAGGTTTTTCTTTAAAGTTTGCTTAAATCCTCTAGGAAAATACCAGGAAAATACCATAAAATTTATCATGATCTCTTCCAGATCATTTCTCATTTCTCCTTCATAATCATCATACTGTATCTAGCCCAGTGTTTGGCAATATAGCACTGTAAAATAGGAGAACCAAACATGGCTGTGTTGTTGATATAGTGTTGTATCCTGATGGAGGATGATGGGTTATCCATGTATACTGAGAAGTTAGTCAGAGGTCTGGAATTACTGGAATACTTAAGAATTGAAATTCACATCTGATGTTAACACGTAATGATGCAGGTGTATGAAATAAAGATTAATATACAAGAATGACAGGAGAGAAATTAACCACTTACAAGTAGCTATTAGTTACACGAGCAACATGCAATGTAATGTGTAATGTTGTGGTACATACATATGCAGTGAAGAAAGACCAGTAGGGTTCAGTGCATGCAGAGAAATGATCAGTGTGATGTCTAGAAATGTCTACAAAAGGTCTGACACATTTTGATCTTTAATAATTCAGATAATAATGAAGATAGAAATAAACTGGTTACATTGTTGGATTGAGAAACTCAAAAAGTTTTGTGTCTATTGTTAATAAAGTTGTACATGTGCTCCATTTGTTACACATAAAATATCAAGACAATATTCGATTTTTTGCTTTCTGGCAAGCATACAGACATCCATAGTGGTTATTGTGTCTTACTCTGATTTTCAATTGATAGATGTCTCTCCCATGCGTCTTATAAACAATATCTTTGACATATCCCCAGAGGAAAAAGTGTAGTGGGGTTATTTCAGGTGGGGCCAAGAAATTGGACCACCTCGTCCAATCCATCTTCCTGGAAAATGTTTGTCCAAAGCATCACGAACTATGGTCCTCCAATGAGGTGGCGCACCATCTTGTTGGAAAATGATTTCGGGCTGAAGAGTTTCAATTTGCGGGAATACAAAATTCTGCAACATGTCTAGGTAAATGACTGATGCGAAAAAGAAAGTCCCAATGACTCGATCATGCATAAGAGCACACCACACATTCACTTTTGGGGAGTCTCTTGCCATTTCACGGTATTCATGAGGGTTCTCTGATCCCCAAATGTGTACGTTATGGTGATTGACTGTTCCAGAAATGTGGAAGCAAGCTTCATTAGAGAAAAATATGTTTGTAAGAAATCTTTCATCATCCTCTATTCTTCGTAACATATCTGTTGCAGAATCCATTCTCTTGGGCTTATCATGTGGTTCAGTAGCTTGCACAAGTTGCATCTTATAAGCATACAGCCATAATTTCTTCTGTAGAACCTTGTGTACTGTTGAAACTGCCATATTCAATTCTCTTGCCGCTGTTCTCAAAGATTTCCTGGGACCGTGTGCAAATGCTTCTCGGACATGCTCAATATCATCATTGCTTGTGCTGGGATGTCCAGAACTCTTCTTACTGAGGACACTTCCTGTTTCTAAAAATTTCTTTTTCCAGTCTATGATACTGTTTCTAGAAGGAGGATCTTTCTGGCAATGTGTTCTGAAGTTCCTCTGCGTTTATGCCACTGATTTCGTTTCACAAAACCACACCACTGTTGGCGCTCTCTCTTGCGGAGTCACCATTGTCTCAACAATGAACACTGCACTGACAGCTATGAACACATTTGTGACCTATAAAGAGGAAAATAAAGTTTTTGAGTTGATCTTTCCATCATTGCTATCTGTTTGCTATTTCTGTCTTCGTTATTTCCCGAATCATTAAAGATCAAAATGTGTCGGACCTTTTTAGACGCCTGTATATTATGTAGCCTACTATGGCAAATGGGACACAAAACATTATAAAGACTCAAACCAATCACTAATTTATGTGCAGAATATTTCCACCTACTGAAAGGTTTGGACTCGCTCTAATGTTTACATAAGATTAGTTGGAAAGAAGGTAGCTGCTTTGCTATGGAATATGCTGGAAATCACCATAAGTTAAGCCCTGGTTGGGTGATTGAGTGTCATGAGTGGTGACTAGAGTTTGACAGTAGGTATGGGACACAATCTGTAGCTAAATCATCAGTCTTTGACATTAGAGCAATTAATGTAATATAAGAAATTAGATGTATGCCATGTATTAACCATGTCAGCTGTCAGTCCTCAGGTAACAAGTTGAGAACTGACTAAATTTTCATGGAATTTGTTATTGGTGACTTCCCCAAAATTTGTTGACATATTTCGGTATTGGTTAAAACGGGATTACTCTAACAGACACTAACAGAAGACCTGCATGTTTATGCATATATTTGAAGTGTGACTTGCTGCATATTTACTGACACGAAAACTATCAAACAGAAATTGCAGAGAAAAGTTTAACATACTGTCGCGTGTTGCATATGCAGCGCGACAAGTAACTCCGCGTGGGTCTCGGATTTAGCGAATATTTATTGAACGCTCACTTTTATACGCCCAAGTACAATTAGTATCACTTTTATTGTGTCTGCGATTCCGCTCACTTGATCCAGCTAATTCGTCGAATGTTAGACTTCGACTGTGCTCTTCCGACTCTGTCTTCTGCGGCGGCAATATTTCAACTGTGTCTTCCATCCCTAGTTCACATGGGTCTATTCGACTCTGGTCTTCTAACTCTGGAATATCTCAGTCTCAATTTACGGCCGACGGTCTGTCAAAGTCAAAAAGTCGAAGCCACAATTGCGACTGACGGTTAGTCAGTAAGTCTTGGTGTCGAGCCCCATCTAGGGCTCATGACCAGATATTAATTATTACCGTTTGACAGCTAGATCTTGTTTCTGTGGGGTGCCCTCTCTGACGAGAGGACGGGTCTGTCTTTTGTATATGCTGCTGGCCCTTGCCAGCGGAGTCTTTCTGGGGTACGTTCAACCCCTTTATGTGGGCATTCTGCGGACCAGATGCCAGACACCATTTCCCACAGTTCAGTTTTCACGTGTCCTACGCTCGTTACCGCGGAAGTGCATTATTCCTGCTTGTTCAATAGTCCATTGCTTCGGAAATGCGATACCTTGTAGAATACCGGTAACATGTTTGGTTTCACAACGAACCTTCCGTCTCCGGGGAAATGCATTTGTTGCCCAAGGCATTCCCAGGCAACTGCTGGTCTGGGATTTCTTTTCCGCTGAAATAACACGTTACAATATGTTTTATGACCAGTACACTTTCTCCGTAAGGGTCATTCCATGTGAAATCATCTAGATAGGTCGCTCGACCATTTTTCTTTTAAATTGTACTTTGTACACATATTCATACATCAAAAATATTTTTAAAAAAATTAATCCGCTCGGTTCTCTGGGTACAACCGTTTTTATAATGTGAAAAAACGCGTTTTCGGCTGAAATGGAGGTTTGCGTTATCTTCTATATATCGATAACTATTGATGCTAGAGACTCCAACAAAAAAAAAAAACAGTTTGTTCCTCATGATATGGACTATAGTTCATGTCATTACAAGTTTTTACTTAACTCATTTCCTCTAGGTCTAATGAAGCTTGAAACTTGCCTATCGATTATGAAGAAAAAAAAAACTATTTCTGACCTTCAAAAACCAATGGGAAGGGGACGTATCAGATCTGTGGTTTCTACCCTTCGTTGTTGCCTACATTGGGAATATAGTCACGTAGTTCAGAACCCCGTATCTATTTTCCATAATTTTCCAGGAGTTTCCAAACTTTGCTCTGGGTCCCAAATCGGCCATTTTTACCATCTCATATCTCCAGTTAGGAAGCTCCAAAAATTTTGAAATTCATAGCAAATAATCTTAGGGTAACTTGGAGTTAAAATTACAACTTTGATTTTCTACTAATAGAGAAGTTGTGGGCACTTTGAATTTTACCAAAAAAATCAACACAACAATTGGCTTACCTGCATCCAGTGGTATTAGTGGTTCTTTATTCGGTATAAAAGATGAGAAATTTATCTGTTGTCATTCCGAGCAGTAAGTACAGGTCTGTATATACTGCTTGAAATGACATGTTATCAGCACTCGCGCCCGGAAAATTTTGGAAAGTAGATACGGGGTTCTAAACTACGTGATTATATTCCCAGTGTAGGCAGCAACGAAGGGTAGAAACCACAGATCTGACACGTCTCCTTCCCATTGGTTTTTGAAAGTCAGAAATTGTGTGTGTGTCCCAAATCGATAGGTAAGTTTCAAGCTTAATTAGACCTAGAGGAAGTGAGTTGAGTAAAACTTGTAATGACATGAATTGTAGTCCATATCATGAGGAACAAATTTGTTTTTTTTATTGGAGTCTCTATCTTCAATAGCTATCAAGATATAGAAGATAACGCAAACCTCAATTTCAGCCGAAAACGCGTTTTTTTCGCATTATAAAAACGGCTGTACCAGGAGAACCGAGCGGATTAAGTTTTTTAAATGATTTTGAAGTATGAAAATATGTAGAAATAAGTGTACAAAATATATAATTTTTTAAAAAAGGTCGAGCGACCTATCATGCGACTTTACATGGAATGAATGTCCAGCCATTCTTGAACAGTTCTCTCAGTCATTCTGCCTGTTTTGCTATATGTATAAGAGCGCATTAGAAGTTAGCATTCATGACTTAAAATGTGGAGGCAGTAAAGGAATGAATATGGCAGAATTGTTATGCTATGCGTACATTGTGAACTTGTTAGACTTTCTCCTTGTCTGGCAAGCTCAAGTACAGGTGCTTCTAAACTGGGAGAGGTATCTCAGTGTTTAAACATGCTATAAATTAAGAGTATAGTATTTGGGATGTGATATTCCAGAAAATGTATTCTTAATGTTCACCACTGTGAGAACCTCATCATGCACACTACCATAAATTATTTCCATGAAGTACATTATACAGTTTGTTCACAAATATGGAACCATAGGCAGTATTGGAGTTTTGACACAGCTGTTAAACCCATGTTGAGTATGTCCACCGTTCATGCTGATGCAAATGTTTTTGCCACTCCAGGAGAATAGTGTGAGTTTGTGGTGTGATCCTACTATATATGGTAAGAATTTAGTCATAACAATGCTTGACATTGTGTACTTTTGCAGCAGAAACCTTGTTTTTCAGGTGGCCCCACAGATAAAAAGTTGAGAGGTGTAAGGTCAGGGGATTGTGATAGCAATTCCATTGGTTCCTATCTTCAAATCCAGCATTGAGGGAACTCTTCACTCAGCCTGTTTGTGATTGCATGGTTGTGAAGGGCAGACATGTCATCAGCAGGTTCGCGAAACCTAAAAATTTGTATCATTACTGAAAAGCATAGCAGAATTATTTCTACGTGTTTGTCATTCCACAGTGTCATCACAACTGCAACAAAGGGAGAATGTACTATTGCTTAAGGTTTCACAGTTTCACATTTGTGGACACCCTAGTGATGCTTTTGGCATGTATTTGTTCCACCACTTAAACAGAACTCAATGAATTCATGCATTATTTTATGTTTGTAAGAGCAGTTTTTTTTTAACTTTTGCAGAAAAGGATGATCTAGTAAATTTGCTGATGCGACATGCTGGACATTCATCAACCAATACTCAAAGAACTGATTTTCCCTATGGCCACAGTGGTCAGGCTGATACACAAAGTAGAGTTCAATCATCCATGGTGCAGGACCAACGAAATCATCATTTTCAAGAACAAGGCACTTCCACTGCAGCATGCTTATCAGCCCAGTGTTCTCCATCCACCTCAGAGACTCTCCCTGATAATGGATATTTGGTAAATCATATAGTTATTAGGCATTTGTGATTCTCAAATTTTTTAGATTGAATTGAGAAAAATCTTGATCTTATGTTGAACATTCATTTTTCAGTGTCAAATTTGATAATTTCCCGATAACTTCACTTGCTTTGGATGTCAGGGTTTGATGTCAGAGGGGATTGGTTCCATATTTTCCTCCCTCACGTTTAAAAATTACAAAAGTACACAACTGAATTTGAGTGATAAATAAATGTACATTAGGCAAGCACAAGAATGATGTCTTTATCTTGAGACATGAATTTTAAAAAATTCTGAGAATGAAGGTGACAAGAATCTATGTAGTAGAGCAATTTTTCACTCTAATAATCTATAAGACTAATTGTTTTTCCAGTCTGCTATCATATTTACCAGAATAGAAGATGATTTTTAATGTAAGGCAACCTAGCACTACAAATCATGTGCACATAAATAGTATTTTATTGATTAATTTCATACTTTTACTACAAACGCAAAAAAAGTATTATAAGACGTGTTATATATGACATTTATTGAGTAAGTTTTCTTCTTGAAGTTACCAGCCTTTGTTCAGCATCACGAGCCTCATGCTGTTTATAAATCCAGCCATATCTTTCAGCATCATCGTCTTCACTGTTCCCATCTTGTCTCACATTTGCTGCTCGCAGTCTCATGTTCACTGCCAACATTTGCAGCTTCTTCATTCTCCCATCCATTGCATTGGATAAACAGCACTTCATACATCCTATGGAGAAATCCATTACCATGATGTCTTGAGTCTGCTGGCACAGCAGTTTTGCACTAGGTCCTATTGCCCTGATTGGTGTTAGAACATTGTCCGTTGTCAACATCCGTTTCATCAGATATGCAGCACTTCTTACATCTTTTGCCATATGTGTGGAGAGATTCATTTCCATGGTCTTGATCCACTGGCACAGCAGCTCTACACTGGGCTTCCTTTTTGTTCTGTTTGTTGTCAGAACATGGCCCCCTGCTAAAGCTGTTTGGAATACAGTTATTTCAAATGATCATTAAAAGGCTTGTTCAGTAGAATGTGTAGTTATGAGGTTATCCCTTCAGGAATGACCACAAGGCCACTATTCAGTCCATGAATCGGCATTCTTTGTTAAGTGACCTTTAAATGCATCCAGCCCAAGCACTTCTCATTTTGTCAACAGTGCTCTCATGTTTGGGGCAACTGGTATCCAGTCCCTTATCAGTTCATTTTATCACCTATTCTGTAGTTTGACTCATGATTATTAGGCCCATAGGCAAGTGTACCTTAGACATAGTTTTTCAGTTCAGTATTATGTATGGTAGTCATTTCTTGCCAACTCCAATATTATCATAATCAAACCTTTTCGTTGCCTGATATTTTTATGACAACAGATTTTGCGCCTGCATTGACGGTATAATTGGATGGCATGTTGAAATACACTGGTATTTCATCATTCATACTACACAAAACAATAAAGTGGCCAAAGAATCCTTGTTCCAGATTATAAATTTTGCAATCCACAATTCCCTTCGGGTCTATCAAACTCTCTGTCCCACAAATAACCTGAGGTACAATCAGTTTCTTCTGAAAGTTGTAAAGGATTGGGCAGCTAGCAAGCTTAAATCAGGTGTCTCAGATGGGGACACTGTAGCGATTTGTCCTGAATCAATGAAATACATCCCACTTGAGGACCCCCTCAGAAGACTGTCAAGAGATGTGCAAAAGCATTCCTTGAACAGATTGTTGATGATGGTTAAGGAAAATTAAAATAAACAGCTAGGAAATTTGGAGTATTCACATTCCACCGAAAGGTAAGTTAAAGGCACTAATTATTCAAATTCTGCAAGGTGTCTCTACACAAGGGAGAATGTTCTTAGAGATAATCATATTGTGGCATATTTGATCAAAGCAGAAACCGTGGAGCCAGAGAAACAGCCTGTGGCAGGTAATGGCTGTGTAACATGCAACAATGGAGTAACTGTTGGAAGCAGTGTTTTCTGTGCAGTTCATGCCAAGGCTATATAAAGAGTACCAGCTGATATAACGAGAAAATCTTGAGACAGCAGATAGAGGAGTAGGCAATTAGTGTCTGATGGCCACCAGCCTGTGAGGACGCAAGCCCGGAAGCAGAGGAATGTCCACTTTTGGAAGATGTTACCCAGCAGCACAGTGAAGACCATGCCTGAGAACACTAGTCTGTGTGTGATAGTGATGTGTAAAGTGTAGTCTCCAGTTGTGTGTTATATAAAGTGTCCAATAAATCTAATTACCAATCCAAACCCTTTCTCTGGTCACACTCAAGTACATGACAGGGTATACAAGAGATATTTAAGTATTTTGTTAGTACGCATTCACATTTTCAGGTTAAAATACCAAATACAGACTATAGAGGCAGTGCACATAAATTTTGTGATTCATTTGAATGCCCAGGAATGAAGGGTGATAGGACCCTTATCTGATCTTCAATGTGTTAATATTTTCTAGAAATGTTATATTTTAGCATCACATTCTGTGTGAAATTTCTTTTATCTTGTTCCATCACCGCAATAAGAAATATGGATACACCATGCATATGTCGTTTTTTACAACATATTTCGGCTCATTGATCTATCATCTATCACCTGTATTGGTCTGCTAGTGTGTCAACATTGACTAGGATTTACGTATTGAAATGATAATTTTTTTAGTAATATGTAATACTGTTATATATATAAAAAGGTGTATTGCCCTTTAAGATTAAACATTAATTCGCACAGTGGGAGGTGGAGTCCAGCTGGGTCCACTCAGCGCGGCGGCCACCGATTGGGCTATTGTACTTGACCCGGGTGATTATGATGATGGAGAATTTGGTGGAATGAAGATTGGCAGGGGAAACCGAAGTACTCGGAGAAAACCTACCCTATCGCCACGTTGTCCACCACAAATCCAGCCTGACCAGACCTGGGTTTGAACCCGGGCTGCCGTGGTGGGAAAAGATTAAACATTAAGTGTAAAATCATTAAAATTAAAAATGAAATGTTTATTAAAGCTTTTCTTATATTTTTCTTGGTGTATTAGTTGTGTGTAGCTCCTCTGCTCATGTATTTCTCTGGGATTCTTCCTGAGCTTCTATTGATATAGTATGTGTTTGTTGGCTTGTGGGCATGTGATTGTGTTTTTCTCCTTGTTTGTTTCTTGTATTTGGCAGAATTGTTGTATCTTGTGTGTGGTAAGACACAACACTTCTCCCTCCTGACAGATGAAGGATTAGTGACCTAAAATGGGCAGAATACTTCTTTTCATGTCCTTTCCAATTTACCATTCAGTCATGCTCCCATTCAGCGCTTATTAACTTTTGAGATGAGGAAGTGTTGTTAAATAAGCTCTTCCTCTGTGTTGCTGCTGCTGTTATTGTTTTCATTAGTTGTGGTTTGCAAGACAAAGACTTCCTTTTCCTGTGATGCTTGCATAAGCTCCAGTTGTTTTTTTTTCATGAACTTGTTCACCCCCTTGTGATAAAATACATTGTGTTTTAAAGGACTCTGCTGTGACAAGTGAGGAGAGAACAAACACTGGTTCTGCTGCGAGTGCTTCAGTTTCATGTTCAGATTCTGGTCCACAGTCTGAACACCAAGCACCACCTGCAGCAAACATGTTCATCTCACATGAAGATAACTCTTCGATTTCCTCTAGCAGCAGTTCATCCAGTGCACAGTCAAGCAGTGGATGTTTTGGAGAGCAGTCAGTGGCTAACATTGATATTGTAGAACTGACAGATGGGGCTGGTGATATAAGTAACTTGGATGCTGGACCTGAGCCAGTGATCACAATCGTTGATGATGAATCACCCGAAAGGACATTTAGTGAGGAAAGCCATGTAACTGTGTCAGAGGTACTTGCAGACATAGGGATAGCCACAGATGCTCCTCCTGCTAGTTCATGTGTGGAAGATGGTTTAACTGTTTTAGAAATTGAAGTACTGGAAACAGATGAAACTGCAGATGTGGTTGTAGAGGGTCAGGATGAATATCATGATCCTGCTGCAGATGTGCCATTAGATGAGACTTCAGACAGTGCCACAGAGGAACATGTTATAACTCAGGTTTGTGCAGATTATTATGGGTGTCTTCTCAAATGCAGGTAACATAATTACTGTACAGTTTCTAACAGGATCTGAATAGTATGCAATTTGAAGACAATATACTATATTACTTCGAATATAAGACATACACATTTTTCTTGTTGAAAAATTGAGGTGTGTCTTAAATTTGAGGAAAGTGCACCTTTCTATTTTTTTTCCTAAAACCCACACTTAAAAAGTGGATGCATCATAAATTTGAGGTTATCTTATATTTGAAGTAATGCAGTATTGGCATTGGATGAGCAGCTGTTGGACGTTGACTGTTGCATGGAGACGTTAGAAACTGCAGAAAAGTAAGTAACTTTTTACATGTGTGATGTCACTGCAAAGGGAATTGAGACACATGTAACAGAAATTCATGGCTGAGTAGTTAGCACTCATGCTTCTTATTGAGGCAGTTCCAGTTTGGTACTCATGCATGTGACAAGCTATCCTTAAAAGGCTTTTCATCATTTTCCTCAGTCTTATGTGAATGCTGGATAGTACCTTGAAGTAGGTCATTGACTCTTTTAACATCCTTCTAAATCTACCATTAATGCTCATTCTCCTATTAAACAATGTATATCCTTTGCTACTGGAAAATTGCCATGAAATAAATAAGAGAAGACACACACACANTACTACCTTTGGGAATGGAACACTGTATAGGTTGGTATAAGTTTGTGATATTTTGGAGGAATGTACTGCCACCAACTTCAGGTTCAGCATGGCTTACTCTTCAACCATGAAAATGGAATCAGGATGTTCCTCTGAAATGTCAGTAAAGTTCTACCAGACTACACAACAACACCTTCTGGGTGATAGTACTTTTCATAATCATTAAGTCCATAACTTTTAGAGCTGAGCAGGTTGGTGTAACAGTAATGCTCTTAAACTTACTTGTGGGGATGTCTGGTTCATTTCATACTGTTTTGAACAATAAATTTACACATAGATAGTTCCACCTGTAGAAAATTTGTGCCCCAGTTAGTTTTCCGAGAGTTTGTCTCCGAGGAGGAAGAATTAAAAAATATGCAAGTTTGTCCCTTGCAGTAGTGGGTTAAATTTAGTAGTGTAAAATTTAGAAACAGAATTGTTTATTTTGTGAGAACAACAAGGTCTCAGTCTACTGGTTAAACTTCACTTCCAGTAAATAACAGTACCTTTTTAACTTCATATGAAACTTAAACTTTCTTCTCACCATTCATTTTCCACAATTTTTGTGTACATACATTATGAATTGGATGTAGAGGACATTATCACCTCTCTGCCGAAACGCGACCCATACACAACGCTGAGACCGGAAATGGTAAGAGGCTATCCCCCTCAAAAGACCATCGCATCTGCGAGCTCCTTATGCTAGAAGACATGGGCGACCACAAACCTTCCCAGTTTCTAAGACACCTCAGAATCCTCGCCCCAGACATGCCAGATGACTTTCTGGTCCAACCAAGTACCTTCCCATATAAGGGCTGTTCTAGCAGGTCAACCCGAGAACGACTTGGATACCACAGCCCACTGCATGGATCGCATTATAGAAATTGCACGCCAGGAGACACTCACGAGTGTAATGCCGTCCTTCCCCCTGACTTTGTCTTGATATAATTATACACACACCTTAATATGATTTTTACTTTTTATCAGGAAAATGCGTCCGTACAGTATGTAACTTTACGAACAAGAGCAGAGTCTTTGAAGACATAATCCTATTCAGGAAATTCCCCACATTGTCTGGAACCCTAAGGTTGACCAAAATCACAGACCCTGTCTTACATTTTGTAACTTGCAGGCATTTTATTATGAAGAAAGCAGTCTTCTGGGATTTGGCACCGTGTATATGTGGTGTTAACCGACGTTTCGGAGGAACGTATCGCCTCCATCTTCAGGGTAGAAGAAAAAATATATAAGAAATCTGCAAGCAAAGAGACCGTGAGAACCGGTAAAAGCAGCTGCTTTTACCGGTTCTCACGGTCTCTTTGCTTGCAGATTTCTTATATATTTTTTCTTCTACCCTGAAGATGGAGGCGATACGTTCCTCCGAAACGTCGGTTAACACCACATATACACGGTGCCAAATCCCAGAAGACTGCTTTCTTCATAGTCACCGCCGTGAAAGCCTCAAATCTTACATTTTATTATGAGTTGTTTTTCCACTTCCCAACCCCAAAGCTGAAGGACCACTCCATGTTGAGTGTTCATGATAGCTTAGTGAATACATCTGATAAAATACAAGACTGACTATATGTAGTCTGATATCTGTACTGGTGATAAGCTTTGGCAGCAACAGATTTTGTGTTATAAATGGAAATTAAGTTTGTATGTACAGAGAACTGTACTCAGTATAGGAAGCAACATAGATTAATATTTTCTTCTGTATTACATGTTCTACAACAGGCATGCACTGGAATTACTTTAGCCAGTATTAGGAGTTTGGAAGATTTGGAGAAGTTGACCGTGAAGCAGTTGAAGGAGCTTTTGTCACTGAATAGAGTTGATTACCGGGGATGCTGTGAGAAACCAGAACTTATGGAGCGGGTTACTCGTCTCTGGCAGGAAAGCAGTCAAACACGGAAAGGTGAGTATTGCATATTAATTGTTATTAATGCTGTGGTATTTTTGTCTTTTAATGTTTTAAATAACACACTCATGCCAGCTTTCATTCTGTATATATTTCTATCTGAACATTCTACTTTATAGAATTTTTAGTTGCCTGTGGGTTGCTTTAGCTATTTAAGTGGACAGAATTAAAGTATTTAACTCTTTGGCTAATCAGAAACTACAGTTTGTGTACAGGACAGGCCTTGCCCTGGCACGGATATGTTACACTGTGATAGGAACTTATAAATCATTTCAGTCATCCTCAAAAGGATGTTGATACAGTGAGTAGATCAAACAAATTGTGTGAAGCTATCTTGCATTGTCTGGTGCTTTGAATTCAGATAAATAACTGTTGTACTTCTTCCTTTTCAATGTATCCTGCCTTTGAAATTTTCATTGCAATAATTTCTGTCTCAGCACAGCATTTTCCACAAACAATGGTGAAGAAATTGTTGAAATTCAGATTTCCCACACTTGTGCTATGAGTGATGCAGTACGGTTAGATACATACTCATAAAAAACTCAGTGGTATTCTAACTGTACATCGTGTTTTTGAAGAAATAGTGTTAGCTATTAAAGAGGACTTCAAACTTGTAGTTAAAAATGTCCCTTGAATCTCTTGTTGTAATTACATTTCTGTAGAAGTGTGGGAAATTTCTTAATCTAATAGAATGCTGCTTGCACTGATATGCAAGAGACAGGTTCCAGCTACAGAAATGGTCATTCTGGTCACAGAAGTGTAATTAGGCATGGTTTTATTTTTATTTATGTCTTTTTTTTTCTTTTGAAACAGGGTTGGACACCATGAGTATGGATGAACTTTGTAAAATTTGTATGGATGCACCTGTGGAATGTGTAATGCTGGAGTGTGGTCATATGGCAACATGTACGGCATGTGGTAAACAACTTAGTGAATGTCCAATTTGCCGTCAGTTTGTAGTTCGTATTGTTCGGACATTTAGGGCATAAACTATGCAAGCTGCAGAATATCTGTATCTTCTAGCAGGTTCTTGAGCATCTTTTGTGCCTGTACTATACAGGGGAATTATGCATCTTCCCTTTTAGCTTAAAGTGAAAAAATGAAGATAAATTCAGTTACTCTTTGGTTGATCAACCAAATTAGCCACCGTCTTTATATTTTAATTGTGTTGTGTATAATTTTGTTTACAAATGTTTATGATTATTTCATTATGGAATAGATTTGTTATATTGTAAGTTTTATTGGTATATCTAAATCAAAAGTTACTGCCATAATAGTCATTATTATACATAATAATGACACTGGCATATAAATTGTTATTATCATATCTGCAGTTCCTGTATCCTAATGTTTAGAAAATTCACAAAGTAATGCACATGTCTGGTTGGTGAGAAGGATTCCTAATGCATCAGTCATCTTCCCACACTTCATGTACACACTAAGGAACACTAAAAATGAACGTTGCAGCTCTTGCTAAGAGGTAACACTCCCACACACCTAACTATACATGCTGCAAACCAGCCAGGCATCAGTTGTGATCTAGTCATGCTACAGCAACCCTGCAGGGTTCATTATTACTGGGTTTTTGGACTGGTATTCTAAAAACCTAGAGAACACAATGTTTCAGAAACTGGATCTGTTTCCATCCTCACTTGGGGTGGGTGGAAACACGTACCCTGTTGGGGCCATTAGAAAGAGATAACCTCAGTCAGTGGACAGACCCATCTAATTTTTGATTGATTGTTTATATACCTGACCAGGTTCCAGTCTACTTGTTCATTATGGTATGTTTGCATACGTCCAGCTTCTGCAGTCCCTGTCCATCACTGAATCATCAGTCAGTGTTGAGTCTGGAAAGTGAACACTGAATAGCTGTTTCATAGTTTTCTGGCTAAAACATTATTTGTGTTATTTTATATCATTTTATCTTTAAACAGGTTGCTGTATTTGCCCTAATATAAGATTATCCAAATTTAGGAACACCTGTTTGAAAGTTGGAAGGTATGAAATGAAAATAATCATGAAACATACTGGGGAAAAATATTTTATTCAACCAGCAATTAGTCTTGCATATTTACTACAGTAATGTTTTCATGGATTTGCAGAATTGTTGATTCATTCATAATTCAGTACCGTTAACTCCTTCTAGGACTTGTGCAGAAAACTTCCAGTTCTGTTATATTGCTTCAGTTTGTGGTTGCAGTGACCACACAGCATTAATGTAATGTCATTTTTATTCCCTTGTCTAATAACCTTTCTTGATTAAAACAAAATTGTGTATCACTTTTAATCAGATTCTTTCCTTGTAACTGGGTGTAATAAAATCTGTGAGCAGGTATTCACTCAGCTTAGTCAGTAGCATCTGTAGGAGATGTTTTATTTTGACCTTGACACATCATGTGGGAAAATTACTCATGCTACTTGTATACCAATGTCAGACCTAAATATGCTGGTGGCTTAATTCTGTTGATAAATTAAAGATGTATGCATTAGTGGACTATTTTCATAGCGTACAGTTTTAAACAATTCATGATTTTTAATATGATGAGTTATAGAAATAATTTAAATGTGGGGAAATGCATCATACTTAATTTATTCACCAAACTGTTAAATAGTCATTTAATTTCTTTTGTGTTGTGTGCATGAGGGACCACAGTCTTCTTGTGCAATGTGAAGATAATGTTTTGGCTTTTGTTCCTATGAAGGCTTTTCTTAAGTTTGGAAAATGTGATATATAAATAAGAATCTGTTGCCTTATTGGTTAAGAAGTATTAATGATTTTGATAAATAAATATGTGTATATATATTCAAATAAAGAGCAGTAGACATACAGATTAATTTTAGTAATCTACGAGATGTGTTCAGACAAGTTACAGAGAACCATGGAAAATGTTACAGCCTATATATTATGACTTAGAATGAATATATTATTTAGTCATAATGTATAGGCCCCATATGAAAGACAGTATAAATACAAGTAGAGATTGTAAATTTAGATGTTGCTTGGCTAAAAGTGAAGTCTTAATTATAAACAGAATAAATCCTTGCCAGAATTATATGCACATTATCATTGTGGGTTTAAGCGAAATTCGTTTGTACCAATTATGTTTGCTTACATTGGCTGGTCATGATCAATAATTTACTTTGTAATGTAAAATAATGAAAATATTCTTTATGCGAGAGTTCAGTATCTGTTTCGCAGTGGCCACTTATGGTGGCCAAAACTACACAAAGACAAACAAGTATATATCAGACCTGATGAGTAAAGCAATACATATACAGGGTGTTTCAAAAAGAGCTTTACAACTTTGAAAACGTATATAAATTTATACAGAGGACATACACAACGTTTTGAACTGTCATAATGTAGCAAAACACACCGAGTTTTACCTCGGATAGTTATGGTTCAACGTGATTTCCATTGGTAATGTGGCAGACGTCCCACCTGTAGTCAGTCTCTTGCCACACGCTACGTAGCATCTCTGGCATCACTTCTGCAACTGAGGCAGTAATTCGAGTTCGGAGCTCAACAACATTTGCAGACAAAGGTGGTACGAACACTCAATCTTTAATGAATCCCCATATGAAAAAATCCAGGGGAGTAAGATCCGGGGAACGAGGTGGCCATGCTATCGGCGCTGCTCTACCAATCCACCAACCTGGGAAACATGTTGAGCTACTCGCACACTTCTCCAAGGTAATCAGGGGGTGCGCTGTCTTGCTGGAAGTGAATGCGTCCTTGGTCATCTTCGTCTAACTGTGGAATGAGGAACTCTTGGAGCATGTCCAGATATACGATACTGGTAATGGTCATTGCCATGAAGAAAGGGCCGTACACTCTTTCTTTGCTGAGGATGCAAAACACGTTCACCTTTGGGCCATCACGAGCATGTTCCAGGGAGTTGTGGATTTTCACTGCCCAAGATCATGCAGTTGTGGGTATTGACCTTACCACTGACATGAAACATGCTCTCATCACTGAAAATTATGGAGTCCAGAAACTTCTCGTCTTGTATCCGATGAAACATGTGCATACAGAATTCCTTACGAACCACCTTATCTGCAACTGTAAGGTGTTGAACAATGGACAGTTTGTACACTTTTAAATGTAAACGTTTTCGTAACACTCGCCACACAGTAACATTTGGAATACCAGTTTCCCGAGACGCACATCGTGTTTACTTTCGTGGACTTCAAACGAAGCTCTCCCTAATCTATTCCACTGTAGCGTCAGAAACACGTGGCTGACCGGGTGGCTTGGCATGGCGCTCAGAACATCTGGTCTGAACAAAATTCTTGTGCCAGGAGTAAATTGTAGGCCTACTGGGAGGTTCCTTGCGATAATGAGTGCGAAATTGCCTTTGAACTTGTGTAGCAGACTTCGTTTCTTCGAACCAGAAAACACAACAAGCACGCTCTGCACCTGTCAAAGTAGCCATCTTGATTTCAACTGCGGGAGCATTAGCGGTGGTGGTATTGGGTACTGCAGTACCATGTGCATGAAACTCGGTGTCATTTGTTACATTATGACAGTTCAAAACGTTTGTATGTCCTCTGTATAAATTTATATAACCTTTCAAAGTTGTAAAGCTCTTTTGAAACATCCTGTATACTAAAATTATTTAGGAATATTAGCATTTCAGATGACTCCTGTATTTTGCAAATGCAGAAGTTATTCATTACTGAAACTGAGGTTTTCACAGTGGTGGAAGTTTGAATGATCTTTTGGAGTCTGACATCTGTGGTCATGTAGGTGGTTACTAACATTTTGAAGGAACCTGCTATCCCCATCTTCATGATAAAAGTGGAGCCAGCAAGTTGCTGTGAAACATTTGCAACCACTTTTATGACTACACAGTATTGGAACCTTGAACTTTGCAATCTTCAGTCATCAGTATTAATAATTATTTAGCACTTCTGTTATATAAATTAGTGACTGACATTTAAGTACTGCAGTCCCTATATGTTTATTTAGTTCAAGCCTTCCAATTTGTACTGAACAGTGTAGTGTAGAGATTGACACACTTGCTTTGGATTCACAAAATTTTAATCTTGGGCAATAGTCAACATAGAGACACTGAGGGTTTTCCATGGTTTTGCTTTTGAGGCAAGTGCCAGGATGGTACCTTAAAATTGGCTATAACCACTTCCCCCTCATACTTCTAGTCTCAACATTTGTAATTGTCTTACCATTTATTGTTAAATGTTTTATGAGGTGGATTTCAAAAGTGAGATATACTTTACTGTAAAAATTTGTTACTGCAAATAGAGTACACAAACATTGTTCTCTTTTCAAGACAAACTTCTGTTCCTTGTACATACTTTCGACCTGTTTATCCTACTTCAGAAACATCTAAAGAACTCTTTATTTAGTTTTTTTGTTTTCCTTATTGAGTCATATCAAATCAACACAGCAGTTGATATGACTTAAATTTCAGCGAAATTTTGTAAGCCTATGGAGTCTGATGAGGAAGCTACAGATATGAAGTTTGGTTTTTCTGTCAGTTAATTTTCAAGTTATTGCATTTTGAAATTTTAAGTTCCCTTAATGTATCCTGCACTTTGATTTACTAAAATGCTTATAACTCTGGTCACAATTAAGGCAGAGGACATATTCTTATACCAATTGAAAGCTCTTTTAAGTGAGGCTGTCATTTGGTGTGACATTCATAATATTCTAGGGCCTATTAAGATTTTGACCAACCCTTTGATATTAATTTTTGAAAACTTGTGTAGCCAGATCTATGCAAGATTTTTCTTAAAATTTTTTTTTAGTTCCTTATTAACCTTTTTAGAAAGTTTCATGCTGTGCTGTGAATTCATTCATGGGATACATACTAGTAATTAAAGGTTAAATACATATTGTCGTTGGTCATTTGCATTACAGATTAGTTTACATTAAGCTATATAGTAGGTAATACAACACAAAGAAAACTAAGTATATATTGCTGTCTCGTCGCCAAAATGCAGGGGAAAATCATGGGGGAGATGAATGCGTATAGGATATTGGTGGAAAAGCCAGAAAGAACGAGACCACTGGGAACACAAAGGCGTAGGTGGGTGGACAGTATTAAAATGGATCTTAGAGAGATAGGATGGGATGGTATTGATTGAATTGATCTGGCTCAGGATAGGGACCAGTGGAGGGCTCTTGTGAACACGGTAATGAACCTTCGGGTTCCATAAAATGCTGGGATATTCTTGAGTAGCTGCAGAATTGCCGGCTCCTCCAGAAGGGCTCAGCTCCATGAGTAAGTAAGTAAGTAGGTAATACAACATATGCAAAAAGGAAAATGAATACATTTTTTACATCAGTAAGAAATATTACCTGTAAGAGTAGCTATTTTGCCTGCAAAGCCTGGTTTCTAATTTCTCAGTGGTGCAGCAGT